TCTAGTGTCAGAAAATAGCAGAATACTGTGGTTTAAAAATACTTGGGTTGGGTGCTTTCTAGCTATTACAGAATAATACGTTAGCTGTGTTTTGCTGCAAGAATATTTTGCTAATAGGAACTAATCAGGCCAGCTGTAGCATTTTATAAGTCTTTTTCAAACATGTCACAAGATCAATCACTGGCATTGTTGTTTTGAAGGCTTGTGATTTACGCTTATATTTAAAAAAACCGAAAAAACAAGGAGTCCTGTGGCACCTTAGAGACTAACAGATTTATTAGAGTATAACCTTTTGTGGGTAAAAAGCTACTTCATCAGATAAAAGCTTATGCCCTAATACATCTGTCTCTAAGGTACCACAGGACTCCACATTGTTTTTGCAGATACAGACTAATATGGCTATCCCTCTGAGACATGTTTCACGGAGGATTTTCTATGGTAACTCAGAATTGCCAAATTTAGAAATGGAAAAGATCCTTTAGATCAGGGTTTCTCAACCTATGGATCAGGACTCAAAATTGAATCGTAATGACCCTAACTCAGTTAATCAGGAACCATGGCCAAGTCACAACCCCCATGACCAGAAGAAGGGGGGTTGTGGGGAGCCCAGGCCTTCCCAGTCCACCAGGCTCTGACCCAGGGCTCTTTAGGGCTACCAGTGGTGTGGCAACCAATGCTGTTTGATGGTGCCCTCTCTAGGCAATTTCCTAGAGAGTGCAATCTACCCCAGCTCAGTCCAAGACTTTCCCCTGTTGGGGAAACCAAGAAAATAAATAGCCTATGAAAAAAAAAAAAGATGGATCACCAATGTCCAGATTAGGGATGTTAAGGACTAGTTGACTAGTCGCTTCCCCCGCTTCCTCTATCAGAATGAGGCAGCAAGGGGGTGTCAAGGCTGATTCCCCACTCTGGCATGATGAATGCAGAAGTGGGGGCCTGCAAAAGTACCCCAAAACCTTACCTTTCCAGGCTTTGGTATAAAGTTTTCCCCCAAAATCCTAAAAACCTAGGTTTTGGTGATAAAAATGTGCTGCCACCATCAAGTGCTTTTGAACCCACAAACAGGGGTGGACACTTGAAACCAACCCCAGGGCACCCCAAGCTATTTTCCCCAAAAAACTTGAAAAAGAAAAGAGAAAATACAAATTGCAGTCTGTGGTTGCTGCCCTTTACTCAGAGACATGCAGATCCCACAGGCAGATTTCCCAGGACACAGAACTGAACCAATACCAAATTAATAAAGAAGAAAGAACTTTTATTATCAAAACAGTACTCCTGTTGCAAGCATAATGACTAGATGGAAAAAAATCACCAATTAATATACTCACGAGGACTCAGTCACAAATTAATATACTCATGGGGGGATTCCACCAAGGGTCAAAACTTAGTTACAAAGGAGAGGAAAACCCATTTTTAAATGTACAGACATCAGATTCCCATTCCCAAACAATAAAACCTAACAGATGTATCTAAACTTTACCCTACTTACACATTGTGAAGGGTCTTTTTCTTAGAGAGAGACATGTCTTCTGTCTCCCTCAGTATCTAGAGTGCAAACTGGCTCTGGACTCTGTCGTGCTCCTGACTCCAGAGCATAGGGTAGGGGAGCCCCACCCGGGCCCTCCCTCTCTCACGGGCCCCAGCCCAGGGCCCTAAGGACAGGTTCAATTTGCCCTGTCCAGCCAGTGGGGGTTTGCTTGCAACTCACCGGCCCACCAGTCTTTTAGCCTCAAGACCCTGCCCTGGGCTGCTTCCTACCCCGCTAGTGGCGTCTCCATTCCCTCTTTTCTCCCCTCTGGCCCCTCCTCCTCCTTTTAACTTTCCTCTCCCGTCGCTCCTTGCTGACGTCACACGCCAGCCCCACCTGTCAGCTGGGCATCCCCCTGCCCTTGACTGTGTCCCGGCATTTAGCCGACCTCCTCCGCTCGCCCTGCCCCTGTTCGTCAGCTGTGCCATTGCTGCCGAGCAACGGGCACAGCTGATCAGCCTTCCCCACCCGGTCCTGAGGAGCGCGAGCGCTACTGCCGGCTCAGTACGGGGTGGATCAGTCTCCGCCAGAGGGAGGCACTCCGCTCTGTCATAGGAGGGAAACCCAAAAATTCCTTTGTCTCAGTTTTAAATCCCTATCTGCATTTCTATTGGCTGACTGCTACCTGGCTAGGTACAGTTAATTCCTTAGTTCCCGGGTTGCTGGCTAACCCCCATGGTCATGACAGGGGGCAAAGAAGGGGGTACTTCAAATCAGCAGTGCCGTAGGGAGCCCAGGTCTCTGTGCAGCACTGCTGCTTTGAAACACCATCATACTGCACGGCACCCAGGATCAGCTGTGCAGCGCTGCCCTATCGACTAATGGAATAATCAATGCAAAAATGCATCAACTATTCGATTAGTGAACTACACGCTACTTAACATCCTTAGTCCAGAGTCCATATGTAAAGGAGAGAGGAATACTTCCCTCTGACTCTTTCTGTATAGATCCTCCCTTTTCTTAGAGAGGGACCTTTAGGCCAGTTTTGTTAGAGACTTCAGCCTTCCCACTCTGAGTTGTTTCTTTTAATTCTTCCACCAGATGGAGCATTGTTTCTGGTGTCATGAGGAGGGACTGGCTGGGCCCACAATAATCCCTTAACCCATTGATCTCAAACTCATGGCTGCTGGCATGTGAGTCTCTGCCACTGTGGTAGGTGTCCATATCTTTCCACCAACCTGCTCTGCCCCCGCCCCTGCTGCACCCCTTTGTTCCCCCAAAGGCGATGTTTTGACAATGCGGGGGGGAAGGGGCAGCCACTGTGCGCTGAGATGTGGCTTGCTTTTCATCCCATTCCCCAGACTATCAGGGAGCAAGGGGAAAGTATTTGGATTACTCCTCTGCCTTCACCAGCCAGGAGTGAGGGGCATACATGGAATGCAAGTAACCAAAATGAGTAGGAGG